CCTGGGCTACAAAGTGAGCTCAAGGCCAGCCTGAACTACATAGCGAGACCCTGTCTCAAAAAGACAAAAAAAAAAACAAAAACAAAAAGCAAGTTGAAAGCTAGCCTGGACTAAATAGCCACTGTCTCAATTCCCTGCCCCATAAAAAAGATGGAACATTTTTGTTTGCTCATGGCAGTGACCCAGTAGATGGAAAGAAATTGATAATGTAGGACAAAGGGGAGAATTTGGAGGTGGAGAAAACCAACTGGCCAGTCGTCTGTCATAGGAATGGAGGATTAGTGTCCAGAGAAAATGAATGACACAAAATTGAGAGCCTAGTAAACCAAATGTGCTAGTAGTTCGCAAATGGATCCAAGATCCAGCTTTCAGCCTGCCTGCTCTGTTAATGGAAGGAACAACCTTTTTGGAACGTGGTATTTTGGATGTTCTTTGGGCATATGGGTGTGCAGAGAACATGATGCTACTAAATATGGGGGACAGCTAACAGAAAAATGTGGTTCAAAAAAATACGGGTCTTTTATGATGGAAAGTTAGGTGAAATGTCATCACCACTGCAATTAGTACTTTTTCTTTGCTTTTTTTCTTTTTTTCCCGGTACTGGGAATCGAACTCACAACCTTGAGCTTGCCAGGCAGGTGCTGTGCTGCTGAGCTAAATCCCCAGCCCTAGTACTTTTTCTTTTTGAGGCAGGGTCTCTCTATATAGTCCAGGCTGGCCTTGAACTTGTGACCTTCCTTCCTCAGCCTTCCAAGCACTGGGACTACATATGTGTACCATCGTGCCTGGCTACAACTGTAATTGGGATGTTTTGGTTTTTCTTGTTTTTTTTCTGGTATCGGGAATCAAACTCACAACCTTGCTTGCCAGGCAGATGCTGTGGCGCTGAACTAAATTCCCAGCCCCGTGTAATTGGGATGTTTTTGTTTTGTCTTTTTGAGACAGGGTCTCACTGTGCAGTTCAGGCTGGCCTTGAACTCACTTTGTAACCCAGGCTGGTCTTGAACACATGGCAATCCTCCTGCCTCAGCCTCCCGAGTGCTGGGATTACGGGAGTGTGCCACCATGCCTGGCTGACAACTGCAATTAGGATGAAGGGAAATCTTTAGGTTAAATGGTAAGTATATGAAGAGTTTAATAACATAAATGTAAAATCACCAAAGAAATATATATTGTAATCCCAGCACTCTGGAAGTCTGAGTTGGGAGGAGTGCAAGTTCAAGCCCAGCCTGGGCAACTTAACAATGTAGTGCGAACCTGTCACAAAATTAAAAAAATAAAAATGTTGTGGTTGTAGTTCAATGAGAATGCCCTGGCTTCTACTGCCAGTACCACAATATAAATAAATAATAAAATAAAATTAAAAAGTGGCATGGATGTAGCTCAGTGGTAAAGTATTTGCCTAGCATATGGAAGGCCCTGGGTTCAATCCTCCAGATAGATAGATAGATAAAGTGCAAAATAATCCACAATCTTTCCGGGCCCCAACTAGATAACAATTTCTTTTCTCACATAGCACAATGGCCGGGCATGGTGGTGACCACCTGTAATCCTAGCACTCTGGGAGGCTGAGGCAGGAAGATCATTGTGAGTTCAAGACCAGCCTGGGCTACAAAGTGAGCTCAAGGCCAGCCTGAACTGCACAGTGAAACCCTGTCTCAAAAAGTCCAAATAAATAAATACATAAATAAATAACATAGCGCAAGGAAGATGGTAAAGTGAAGCAGGTGAGCTCCAGAGATTTAAGGGGAATCAGGAGGGACTTGGAAAAAACCCAAAACAAACAAACAAACAAACAACCAGAAGGGACTTGAGGTTGTTTGTTTTTCTTCAGTAGGGATACTTGAACCCACGGGTTTCACATTGAGCTATATCCTCAACTCTTTTTAAATTTTGCTATACAGCCTGGCTAGTTACTAAATTGCCCAGGCTGGGGCTGAACTTTCAGTTCTCCTGCCTCAATCTCTTAGAGTACCAGGACTGTAGATGTGCACCACCACACCCAGCTGAACACACAGATTTTAAAACCAGAAAGCCTGGACTTGATACTTGGCTCTATTATTATTATTATTATTATTATTATTATTATTTTTGTCTTTTTGATACTGGGTCTTACTGTGCAGTTCAGGCTGGCCTTGAGCTCACTTTGTAGCCCAGGCTGGTCTCGAACTCGCAACGATCCTCCTGCCTCAGCCTCCCGAGTATTGGCTCCATTATTTATTGTATGACTCTGGGGAAGTGACTTTTCTCAACTTCAGTTACCCATCTCTAAGGATAATGATAGTACCCTATAGGATTATTATAATAATTTTAAAAATTGATATTTAGTAAATGCT